CCTTGGCCGATGCTCGACTGCTCCTCCTGTCGATGGGGCACGCCCGACGTCAGCCTGCGCCCACCGAGAGCCCCGCCCCCGACGCCCGAGGTGGGCCGAGGGCAACCGGCCTCGAACGTGTCCCTGCCCCTGAGATTGACACGCCAAAAGGCGATGACAATCTTAGGGATCCGCCCTCAAAAAAGAAGGGAAAAATGAGGGACTCCCCAAGATTGTCATCGTGATGAGGAGATGCCCAGCATAGGGATAGGGATAGGTTCCAGGCTGGTAAGGGGGGGGGGAGGGGGAATAGGGGGGTAGACGTTGTGGGCGCTACGAGGCGTTACACATGCTCGAATGGCATAGCACGGCACAGCATGGCATGGCATGGCACGGCACGGCATGGCATGGCATGGCATGGCAAAGCGAGAACAGGCTACTCCAGATTTCGTAATAAAGGGAGGGGGGTCTCATTTCGGGGGGGGTCTCTTCCAGGCTATCTTGGAGGGCCTGGGGGGTCTGGGGACGATGTTTTGGAGGGTTCTCCCACGGGGGAGGTCTGAAATGGCTTGTCTTGGAGGGTCCAGACCCCCCCCCGCGGGAGAACCCTCCAAAACATCGTCCCCAGACCCCCCAGGCCCTCCAAGATAGCCTGGAAGAGACCCCCCCCGAAATGAGAACCCCCTCCCTTTTATTACGAAATCTGGAATAGTTCTTCGTGCGATTATGAATTGACCTCGTGCTTCCGCAGGGGAAGTCGGGCGCCCGGGGGGGGGAGGGGCAGCTCCCCGCGGGCGCCCGCCGGCGCGGCGCTCCCTCCTCTCCGCGCGCGGCCCCCGGCGGCCCCCATAGGCCGGCGCCCGGGGCTGCCGGCGACCCGTGCAGTGTGTCCGGGAGGCGGCCGACGAGGAGGCAGGGGCCCAGTCGTGCGTACACCCCGCGAAATGCTCAAGAAATCATGGGTTAAGAAATTCATAGTCTCAGAACTTGAACAAAAACCCAAGATTTCTATCAAAATCTTGAGATTTACATTGAAACGTTAAGAATCATCGAGACTCTGGCCGAAAACTTGGGTTTTCTTAAGCATCGCCCAAGGTGTACAGGAGAACAGGCCAGTCCTTCGTGCGATGCTGACTTGACCTCGTGCCTTCGCTGGGGAAGTCGGGCGCGGGGGGGGGGGGGGGGGCGCCGCTCCCCGGGCGCCCGACGGCGCGGCGCTCTCTCTCGCGGCCCCCAGGCCAGCGCCGGGGCTGCAGGCGACGCGTGCAGTACCAGGATGCGCCGACGAGGATAAAACAGTGTCAGGATGCGCGACGACGAGGACCCTCAGGACCCTCAGGACCCCCAGACACCCGTGCCCCCAAGATCCCCAAATCGGTAGGAGCCCCCAAGACCCTGGTCCCCCCTAAAACAGGGCTAGGATCGGGACACATCGCTCCAGAGCGTTCCGGAGCGCTCTCAGAGCGTTCCGGAGCGCTCTGGAGCGGCCGCGGCGCCCAGTGCATCCTCCAAGCCCGCCGATTCTCAAAGATTTCGAGTTATCCCGATCCGATTTTGTCCCGATCTTCGCGTCGTTTTAAAGGATGCAGGGGCCTCGGACGCCCGTCTCGAAGCTTTCTCCGAGCGGGGCGCGGCTGACGAGAGTGGTCGAGGATGGGCCGAGGAGGCATGGATGTGGGAGTATCCCTGGGAAGGTTGCCCGTCCTAAGTTTGCGGGTTGACTGCACAGTCGGACTTCATTGGAGAGGACACGCGAGAGGACACGGCGGGACCCTCCCGAGGGCCACGTTGCCACAGAACTGCAGAAGACGTGGGTCGCAAGACACAGGACACGAGGGTACCCTTGATCTGGCAGGGTCGACCTACTGATCCGGGCCGCCTGTAGGTCGGGCGTGTCCCCATGAAGGAGGATTTTGGGCGAAGAATTCAAAATACCACACAAATTCAAGAAATGTTCAAACAGTATCAAAAAATCGTCCCAAAACTATGTTTGACTATTTTTGAACATTCCCCCTGTAGAGCGACATGCCCGACTTAACGCCAGGGGCATCTGTTCGCCATGGATTCGGGATGTTCCAACTTATTTGAGCCTGGGTGAGCGTTTTCTTATTCGGCGTTTCGACATTGGGCGGAAAGAGGTGGGAGAAGGGAGGGTCTGGCTCTGGACATCTGCTTGGTGCGACTGTTTGGAACCGTGCGTCCTATGGGGGGGGATTCCACCGCTCGAAACAGGCAGCAAAAACAGCCAAGATCTACTCCATGGGGGGGAGGAGGGGGAGTGCGCGGGCCCGCGCCGATCGGCAAAATATTAAATAAACAACTATACTTTTTCGCCCTGGATTTATGATGTTCCAACGTATTTGAGGCTTGGCCACCACAAACAGTTCAAGCACCAAGAAGATATCGAGACTGGAGGGTGTTCACGCGTCGGGCCCTGGGAGGCGGGTACTCGTTAGGCACTCCGCCAGCGTGTCGGGCAGACAATGTTTTGATCCTTCGCTGGGTGCCCAGAGCTACTTCTGGGATGAATTCTCAAAGCACGATGGGGACACCAAGACCCTGGATCCGTTTCTCGTAGTCCCTCGGGAGGGAAAAAGAGTGATCAATGACACGCTGCTGTAGGGAGCGCGTCAGCGTGTCACTTCTTCGTTCTTGCCCGAAGACCTGGTAATTCCTCAACAGTAGCAAGCCGATGGGCTCCCAACAGCGGCGTGTCATTGGCACTGATTTTGCTCCCCCGGTCCCTGAGCCCTAAAACGGCCACCAGGGCCGAAATCGAGGAAGCACGCCCCGACTGCAAAATCGCGTCGTGGGAGAGGTGAGATTTTGGATGGCTCCCGCTCGCTCCACCACTTTTTGAACCTCTGGAGGCCTCCGCGGAACCTCCTGGGACCTCATGCCAGGATCTCGCTAGGGCGCGGAAGCACAGCCCGCCTCCTGCGAGTCCCTGTGCGTCCTTGTTCCCCCCCTCCTCCGTCTTGTCTGCCTCTGGGGCGCGCTTTGCGATCCGCACCTCAGCACAGATCCGGGAGAGGGCCCGCCTCGTTGAGCGGTGCTGCGATCCCCCCCCCGCTCGAGCACGGGCCCCCCCTTCTCCCCCGGAGCCGCAGCCTTGCCGAGCCCTGGGGGCGCGCTTCGGCGGTGCCTCGTCCTTCTCATCACCATCCTCCCTAGAAGAAGAACAAAACCACATAAACATAAACTTTTGGCGCTCCGCGCGGATTTCTTGGATTCGTGCCAGACCCCCTTCCCTGGCGCGCGGAGCGCGCCAAGGGCGGCGCCGGAGGCGCCGCCAGGGGCCCCGCTCGGGAGGCCTACACCGAACTCGAAATCAAGCGCAAGTTTCTAATGCTGATCGACGCGCGAAGCGCGGCCCGCGGGGTCAGACCTTTGTGTTTACAGTCGCCGGTTCGGGCACGAGTATCGACAGCTTGGGGTCTTGGGGCGCCGCCACGTCGCGGGAAAAAACTGCGCCCGATTCCGGGGAGGGATGCGGGGAGGTGCGGCGCACACCTCTCGCACGCCACTCTGCCGACGCGGGAGAGCGAGCGCGACTGCCGCTCTCGCCCCGACGCCGCCGCGCAGGCGTCGCCCGAAAACGGCGTCCACGCCTCGGCCGCCCAGTGCTGGGGGCCACGCGCAGTCCGGGGGACGCATCGCCCCTCGCCCAGGCTCATCCTCCTACTCCTCCTCCGCCTCCTCCCGCTCCCTCCTCCCTCCTCCCTACCCTCCTCCCTCCTCCCTCCTCCTCCTCCTCCCCCTCCCCCTCCCCTCCTCCTCCTCCCCCCTCCTCCCTCCTCCTCTCCTCCTCCTCCTCCTCCTCCTCACTCCTCCTCCTCCCCTCCTCCTCTCCTCCTCCTCATTCCCTCCTCCTCCCCCTGCTCCTCCTCCTCCTCCTCCTCCTCCTCTGCTCCTCCTCCTCCCCCGCCTCCTCCTCCTCCTCCTCCTCCTCCTCCTTCTCTCCTCCTCCTCCTCCTCCTCCTCCTCCTCCCTCCTCCTCATCATCATCTTCCTGCTCCTCCTCCTCCTCCTCCTCCTCCTCTTCCTGCTCCTCCCCTTCCTACTGTTCCTCCTCCTCCTCCTCCTCCTCCTCCTCCTCCTCCTCCTCCTCCCCCCGCCTCCTCCTCCTCCTCCTCCTCCTTCTCCTCCTCCTCCTCCTCCTCCTCTTCCTGCTCCTCCCCGGCCCTTCGGGAATGACGTCCTTGCGCGGGCGTGGCGCATGGCTCGTTCGCCGGATCAATGATCAAGGTAAAGGCGGCAGCGGCAGCGGTGCCGCGCGAGAGCGGGCGAGATGCTGCGCAGCTGGTGAGTGAAGGGGCAGTGCTGCGCCGGCACGGCGCATGCTTCGTCTTCGCCGCGCAAGTCCAAAATTTTGCCGCTCCCGCCTCTAAGCGGCCCGTGTAGTTTTCCCTCCGTTCGCTAGGTGGGACCGCGTTCCGATCCCACAATTGATTCTTATGTCATGGGAGGGAGGGCGGCAATGGGCGGGGCCTTCTGACTTGCTCGACCTGGCAAACTTGACTTCTGCTCCAACTCCTCCTTCCCCTATTCCTCCTCCGCCTCACTCTCCTCGGAGGGAGAGGGGAAGGATCGAGGTTGTTGGACCATTCTGGCTCTTTTTGGCTCCCCTCACTCATCCTCCCCTTTGTATTATTCTGCACATGCTCCTGCTGTCTCCTCCAACCCCGTCCTTCGTCTTCTGCTACTCCTTCTGCGTCTCCTCGTCCTTGTTCTCTTCCTCTTCCTCCCGCCTCCTACCTCACCCTCCTCCTCCTCCCTCCTCCTCATTCGCCTCCTTCTCCTCATCATCTTCCTCCTCCTCCTCGTGTCCTCTTCGTCTTCCTCCTTCCTTTGCTTCTCCTCCTCGCCTCTCTTGTTCTTTACCATGTTATGCAACTGATGGGCACCTGGGGTCTAAAACAAGGTTGCGCGACCCCCCTCCACGACGGGTGCACATCGCGACGACGTCGGCACTGGCCTCGGACACCGCGCGGATCGCGCACCTTGAAACAACTCCGGCGTTCCGACGGCGCGGACCGTTCGACGTCGGCCACTTCGGCATCCGCCGGCGGCGTTCAACCTTGACCGCCAGCGCTGGAGGCCGCCGCTGCGTCAACGCAAGAGGCGCCGGAGGAGGAGGGGGAAGAGGGGTGGGAGGAGGAGGGGGGGAAGGAGGAGGAGGAGGAGGAGGAGGAGGAGGAGGAGGAGGAGGAGGAGGAGGAGGAGGAGGGAGGAGGGGGAGGAGGAGGATGGGGGAGGAGTGGGAGGAAGACGAGGAGGAGGAGGAGGAGGAGGAGGTGAAGGCAACGACGGCTCCCGCGCTCCTGCTTGGCCATCCCCTGCGCTAGCGCCATGGCGTCCGCCATGGCGGTCTCGCGGTCGAACTTCGCCTTGAGGCGCATCGTCTCCCGCGCGGCCTCCTCCAGCTCCATGTCGTTTCGGACCCGGATTCCCTGCGCGGTCCTCCTCCTCCTCCTCCTCCTCCTCCTCCTCCTCATTATCATCATAAACATCACCATTTTCCTCCTCCTCCTCCTCATCATGATCCTAACAAGCATCTCATATCATCATCATCATCATCATCATCATCATCATCATCATCATCATCATCATCATCATCATCATCATCATCATCATCATTATCATCACCACCATCACCATCAACCCCACCCTCACCCTCACCCGTATCCGCAATATCACCCTAAACATCATCATCATCATCACCCATCATCATCATCAGAATCGTCACCACCACCATCATCATAACATCATCATCATCATCATCATCGTCGTCGTCATCATCATCATCGTAATCGTCATCATCATCGCCATCAGCATCAGCATCAAAATCGTCATCATCACAACCATCAGCAGCAGCACCAGCATCCGCATCTTCATCAGCATCCTCATCATAATCATCAGCAGCATCAGCATCAGCACCAGCATCGGCAGCCTCATCGCTAGTATCTTCATCATCGTCATCACCGTACCATCATCATTGTACAAATAATCATCATCATCACCATCACCACCATCACCATCATGACCATGGTCACGATGATCACCATCATCATCATCAGCATCATCATCAGCGTCATCCTCATCACGGTCGTCGTCGTCATCATCATCATCATCATCACCAGCACCGCACTCATCATCATCATCATCATCATCATCATCATAATCATCATCATCATTACCATCAATATCACTATCATCATCAGCATCATCATCATCATCAACAGCAGCATCATCATCGTCAGCATCATAATCAACATCATCGTCATCATCAGCATCATCATGATACCCGTTATCATCACCATCGTCGTCATCATCAATATGCCACCAAAGCATCATCATCATCACCATCATCATCAGCAGCATCATCGTCCTCATCATCGTCATTGTCAGCATCATCGTCACCACCACCACCACCCTCACTATCCCCTTTCCCCTCACCCTCATTATCATCATCATCAGCAGCACCATCAGCATCAATACCATCATCACATCATCAACATCAGTATCATCGTCATCATCATCGTCATCAACATGAGCATCACCATGATCATCATCATCATCATCATCATCATCGTCATCGTCATCATCATCGTCGTTAGCATCATCATAACCTGTCATCATCATCACCACCAGCATCATCATCATCACCACCATCATCATCATCATCATCATCATCATCATAATCATCATCATCATCATCGTCATCGTCATCGTCATCGTCATCGTCATCGTCATCATCGTTATCGTCGTCATCGTCACTATCGTCTCGGCTCCTCCCTCCTCATTACTCCTCCTCCCCTGCTCTTTTCTCCTCCGCCTCCTCCAGCTTCATGCTCCGCCTTCCTTCTCCACCTTTTCCCGTTTCTCCTTGCTCCGTGTTTTCCTACTGTTCATCCTTCTCTCCTCCTCCTCCTCCTCCGCCTCCTCCTCCTCCTCCTCCTCCTCCGCCTCCTCCTCCTCCTCCCACCTCCCCCTCGAGATTCGAGCATCAAGGCTTCCGGCCGTGTGTCCTGTGGGCATGTTCGAGCCTCCGGAAGCCTCTGCAGGCCTCGTTTTGGGACCTCCCTTATCATCCCCACGTCCAGCCCTACCCCTCCCTCCCTTCCTCCTTCTTCCCTCCGTCCCTTCCTCCTTGTGCGTCCCCCCTCCCTTCTCCTCTCCTTCTCCTCTCTCCTCCCCCTCCTTCTTCCTTCTTCTCCTCTCTCCTCCCAACTAACCCTCTCCTCTCTCCTCCCCCTCCTCCTTCCCTCAGTCCCTCCCTCTCCCTCCTTCCTCCTCCCTCGCCCTCCTGCTCCTCCCCTCTGGAATCGCTCCCCTTTCTCTGTTCTGTTCTGTTCTCTGTGGAGGCAGGTGTCAGTGCCACCCGCCCCTAGCAGCAAACACAGCTTAGGACACGATACCTTGATCAGCCTCGGCTGGCAGAATCAAGCCAAATCTAGAGAGGAGCTGACCAGGGGTCCACTTCTCCTCCCACAGGCTATCAACAAAATCACATGCCTCAGGCTCCGCCCCCCCTGAAAGTTGGACCCCTTTGTGCGACGCACGCACCAGTGAAACCAGATCCAGAGGGGTAGGCGAACGGTGGCAGGTGACCGACCAACCTTTGTACTGCCGAGCCCAACTAGGAAAATCACCTTTGGCAAACCTCGTCCTCTGTCGCCTGAGGTCCTTAGTGGGGGGGTGGCCAGGGCATTTATTGGCTAGCGAGGCCACACCAGCCCACGCATAGCCGCCGCAGCAAATGCATGACATCACCCACCCACTCCCAGCCGCCCGACTCCCGTCCCCCACGAAGACCTTTGCTTTGCAAAGGTTGTGCCCCTGGAGGCGGACCAGCAAGGATAGCTCAGACAACTGCTCAGGGCTGCCTGGGTGCTCGGACCCTGTGTCCGAGATGATCGGCACACGAAAATCAACTCTAGGCCACCAGGGGGCCGAAAGCTGACGCAGAGCCCTGACCTGGCATCGAATTCGGCCCTTCTTATCACGGCTGGGGAAATCGCGCTCCGATTTCTCAGCATCGGCGGCCCCAGGGAACCCAGACGCGTCAGCCCAACCTCTATCGGCCATGATGACATCTTGAATCGCTCCCCATCGCACGATCTCTTCTTGGACCGAACGACAGGTGTCGATGGCCTGAACAAAAATCTCGGGCATGGGGTGCATGCCTGCTCCTTGCCTGGCAAACCTATCCGCATGCTTATTGCCGAGCCTCTCAAGGTCACTGCACACCCCATTGAGAACATCAGCCGAAGTGGCGTGGCCTTTGACCTTCCTGGCCTTAAGACCGTCCTCAAACACGTGCCAAACAAAACTCCAGAGGTGGGCCCTGGAATTCTGGGACGAGCAACTCTTGGCCCTATCCCACACGCACCCGAGAGTCCCAGAACAGTCAGTACAAATCTCAAAATCGGAAAACGGGTCCACAAGCTCAGCCGCCATCCTGTAGGCATAGTCCTCACCATCCCTGGCCTGCTGGCTATCTCCCTTGCCTATCTCCCGGCCTCCCTCCTCCGGCCCGGGGACACCCGAGTTGGTGCCCCGTCCCCATCACAGAGGAGGACCCCCAGGCTTTAGGGTGAGGAGGAGGAGGCAGGGAGGAGGAGGAGGAGGAGGAGGAGAAGGAGGAGGAGGATGAGGAGGAGGTAGAGGAGGAGGAGGTGGAGGAGGTGGAGAAGGAGGAGGAGAAGGAGGAGGAGGTTGAGGAGGAGGAGGAGTGGGTGCCCCATCACAGAGGAGGACCCCCAGGCTTTGGGGATAAGTTCCTCGGCTCCACGCCAGCGGCTGCCAGGGCAAGGGCCCGCTCTTCAGCCCTGGCCCGGGGTTGCCCTCCTGGCCTGGCTGCGTTCTCCAGCCTGCGTCAGTGAATCAGCGCGTTCCCGATGCGCAGATACTGTGGACGTCGCACGGCTCTGCAATAAGAACGAAACAAGAGGAGGAGGCGGAGGAGGAGGAGGAGGAGGAGGAGGAGGCAGGGAGGAGGAGGAGGAGGAGGAGGAGGAGGAGAGGAGGAGGAGGGGGAGAGTGGAGGAGGAGGTGGAGAAGAGGGAGTGGAGGAGAGGGGGGAGGAGGTGGAGGAGGAGCGGGAGGCAGGAAGGCAGGGGGACAGGCGCGAGGCGCGCGCTGTGGCAGGGCTGGCCCGGCAGGGAAGTGAGGGGGAGGCAGGAGTGCGAGGGCGGGGGCGATTGTGGTGGTCGTGCTGGTGGTCACGGAGGTGGTCGCGGCAGCGGTCGTAGTGGTGGTGGTCGTGCCTGCGGTGGTCGGGCAGGTGGGCGTGCTTGTTGTGCTCGTGATGGCGGTCGTGTTGGTCATCGCGGTGGTCGCCGGCGCCTCGGGTTACGGTGCCGGCCGTCGTAGCAGCCGTGGCTGCGGCCGCCGACGTCGGCCGTCGTGGCGGTCGTGGTGGGCGTGATGGTGGCTTACCCGCGTTCATCTCTGCGCTGCCGTGCTGGAGGGTGCAGGAGATGTCGCGGCAGATCTGGGCGGAAAGCTTGGGCCGCTGGGCGTCCTCCAGGCAGGCGCCGTAGCTTCAACGGACGGCCGCCCCCCCGTCTCAAAGACCTTCGGGACGAGGTCAAGGCCCTCCCGGGGGTGTTTTCGGTCGCGCTTGCCGTCAACCATTTGGGCAGCCGCGAGGCCGTCTTTTTTGGGAGCGGGCGAGCCTGCGTGGGTCGTAGGCAGAGTGTCATTAAGTAGAGGTCACCTCCCTCCCTGCTCCTCCTCCTCCTCCTCCTCCTCCTCCACCTCCTCCGTTCCTTTTTCACTTATCCCTGTCGCACCCAGAGGCCAGTCTGTAGGGCGGGCCAGGCGTTTCGCCTGAGACTTCCTCACCACGTATGACTCTGAAGCTTATTCATTGGCATCAGGTTCACAGATGGAGGGCGAGTGGTTTTCAAAATGTGGCTCTCGTCTTAGCGCCGCACTCATTCGTTCTAAAAAATGCAAGACCTTCACGGATTTATGATAACCGGTTTTCAAAACGTGGCTCTCGCCTAAACGCCGCGCACATTCGTTTTCAAACATTTGCAAGACTTTCACGAATTGAGGGCGGCTCCTTTTCAACAGGTGGCTCTCGCCTAAGCGCCGCGCACATTCGCTTTCAAACATTTGAAAGAGTTTCACGGATTGAGGGCGGCTCCTGTTCAAAATGTGGTTCTCGCCTAAACGCCGCGCACATTCGCTTTAAAACATTGCACGAGTTTCACGGCTTCGCACAATCAACGTACCAGGAGTGGTCTTTTGGAAGGATTTCGGATTTTGCGGGTGCAACAATTACGTGGGTTCGCGGTGTTGAAATCCCAAGAATAGCGTTCTGGCACGATCCAAGATCGTCAAAACGCAACTGTCAGGTTGATCCGTGGCGTTGGAATCCCGAGAACAATGTTTTGGCATGCTTCCGGGTCTTCAAACGGTTGTCTTCCAACGAGGCAGATCCCTCAATGGAAATGAACCGTCATAGCCATAGGGGCCTATGAAGAGGGAGCTTGGAGGGAGAATGGACTCCAATATCGTTGATGGCTCTTGGGTTTACACTGGTCCTCCTCCTCCTCCTCCTCCTCCTCCTCCTCCTCCTCCTCCTCCTCCTCCTCCCCTGTATCTCCCCTCCTCCTGTCGAGCGCCAAGTCCCGCCCGCGCGTCGTGGCGAGTAGTGGGAGGAGGAAGAGGAGGAGGAGGAGGAGGAGGAGGAAGAGGGGGAAGAGGAGGAGGAGGAGGAGGAAGAGGAGGAGGAGGAGGAGGAGGAAAAGGAGGAGGAGGAGGAAGAGGAGGCGAGCTCAAGAGGAGGGTAATGAGGAGGAGCGAAGGAGGGAGGAAATAAAGGGGATGAGAAGGGAGAGAAGGGGGAGCAGGAAGAGGACCAGGAGGAGTCGAAGGAGGTTATCAAGATGCGGCTGGGGGGGAAGAGCAAGAGGAGGCAGAGGAGGAAGAGGGGATCGCCTCGTGCTGGGCGAACTGCTCGTTCTCCCTCTTGAGCTGGTACTCCAGCTGCTCCTTCTGGAGGTCCAGCTTGCGGCCCTGAAGCTGCGCCTCAACCTGAGCCTTGTGCTGCGCAGTGGCACGCTCCTGAAAGGCCAGGACGCCAATACGATGAGGCTCGGGGATCTACCGATCCAGGTCAATCGAGACCTAGGTCAGTCGGGCCTTGCAGGATCCTGCAAGATCCTGCAGGATCCTGCATCCAACCCCGGGTCAGTGCACCCCTGGCTCTGCAGGATCCTGAAAGATCTGGCGCTCTGACTGACCCCTGGTTGCATTGACCCCCGTCTCTTGAGCCCCAACAGGCATTTCCTCCTCCTCCTCCTCCTCGTCCTCCTCCTCCTCCTCCGCCGGCTCCCTCCTCCTCGTCCTGCTCCTCGTGCCCTGCGCTCTCCTCCACGTGCTCACTATCCCGCCTGCTCCTGAGTACGTGCGCCATTTCTCCCCGCCCACGGCCTCCACCTGCCTGCCCCTCCTCAAGGGGGGAGACGGCCCACCTCCCCCTCCTCTTCCTCCAACTCCTCGTCCTCTCCTCCTCCTCATCCCCACCTCCTCCTCCTCCTCTTTCCTCCTCCTATAGCCTCCTCCTGGCCTCCCCTCCACCCTACACTCCTCCCCTCCCCCTCCTCCTCCTCCTCCTCCTCCTCCTCCTCCTCCTCCTCTTTCCTCCTCCTCTTTCCTCTCCTCCTGGTCCTCCCCTCCTCCTCCTCGTCGTCCATAATCTTTCTCTTCTTCCTCCTTCCTCCTCCACGGGAGGGGAAGCGCTGCGCGGCGCAAAGCTTCTGCGGACCACGTCCTGGTCGGCCGTGTGGGAGATCGTCCGGCGCTGTTCCTCGCCGCCAGCCTCCTGCAGAGCTTGCTCCAGCTGCGAGCGCCTCCGGGAAGAGAGGGAGGGCGCAGGAGGGAGGGAGGGAGAGAGGGAGGGAGCGAGGGGAGGGGAGGGGAGGGGAGGGGAGGGGAGGATAGGGAAGGGGAGGGAGGAGGAGGAGGAGGAGGAGGATGGGGATGGAGAGGGAGGAGAACGAAGATAGGATGGAGGAGGGGGAGGAGGAGGAGGAGGAGGAGGAGGAGGAGGAGGAGGAGGAGGAGGAGGAGGAGGAGGAGGACGACGAGGAGGGGGAGCAGGAGCAGGAGGAGGAGGAGGAGGAGAGACGGAGGGTGGAGCTGGATGAAGAGGAGATTACAATGATATGACTCTGGGGCACCTCAACTCCGTTGGTGAGACACCAAAGGCCTGGTGTACCACCGCGGTGCACCACTCGAAGACAGGGCAACCATGAAGCGATAGCATGGAATTGCTAGAGAGCTTCTCAGAAGCACCGCTAGCTTTGTCCAAGCACCATGTCCTGCATCGAGTGCGATGGTTCAGCTTGAACCTAGCGCCCGATGAGGCAATGCAGCCTGAGGGATAAAATCCGAGACCCTATGAAGGTGAAGAGGGGCCGTGGTAAAGGCTGAGAGGGCTCCCCTGGGCTTCCCTGCCGCCGCTGCGCGTGGGCTCGGGGCCCCCGCGGCTGTCTCCAGCGGGCCGGGGCCGTCGTCAGAGGCCTCGGCGATTTGCTCTGGGAGTCCTGGGCGGACCCTCGCGAGGCGGCTGAGCTCGAGCGCGGAACAGGGCGGCCTCTGGCCAGCTTGCCTCAGGTCAGGCCTGTCCTCCTGCAGGCGGATCTGGAGGACGAATCAAACATAGCCCAAAATAGTCAACAATGGTCAACGAGCATGAAGAATCGTCCCCTGACTGTGTTTTGACTCTGTCGGTCCCTGTCCATGGCGTACCTTTTCCTGCACACCAACTTCGGCACCGCCTGCTCCCCGGGCCCCGCCCGCTCCGGCCGCCTGAGGCCCCGCCTTCCTGTGCCCTGTCTCCCTAATTAAAGCTGTGCGTAGCCCGCCTAGCTTTTAGCGGAAGAGGTTCGCTCTCGCCCCTCAGATCAAAAACTGTGTTTTGACTCTGCTTGAATATTCCTCCTGTGGAGGGGCACGCCCGACTCAAAACTTGCTGCATCTGCCAAACCGCAGTGCCGAGGCCACCGGAGCACGGGGCACTCTGTTGCTCCGCAGTCCAAGCCCGCGCGCCCGGCTCCGCGCACGGGTGGCGCGCAATGCTCGCATGCGGGACGTGCTGGTGTGCCCAGAGACGTGCAAGCGCTCGGACAACCTGGTGTACCAAGTATACCCAGAAGCTGGATGAGCATATTTACACCGTACATTATAGATATACACATTTATATGTACACACACGCAGGAAAAGAGAGAGAGAGAGAGAGAATGGCGGCAAGTCGGCTCGACCCTTCCTCGGATGGGTCGGCACGCCGCTGTGGTAGCGGATGGGCCAGTACATCGAGAGCAATCATTTGAGGCTCGTCCCAGAATCGGTATGCGACCCCTGCGGATGGGATGTCGCGCCGCCTGAATGGCGGATGTGCGAGTACTTCCACCACTGAAAGGTTGAGCCTCGTTTCAAAGTCCGCGGTGCGCCAGACGGAGTTTTTGAGATACTTCTAAGAATCGGCGCCCAATCCGCGGATAAGACAGCAGGCCCCTTCGACAGCGGATAGACAGGCGATCCCCAAATAGATTATCTAACCTCAGGCTGGAGCCGTTGGCTATGGAAGAGCTCGCGGGTGAAAAAGATGATGATCGTTGAGGGCGATAGCGACGACATCGAGCATCTCGAGTACACTCGCCTTCACTTCCCCTTTGGCGGGAGCTCGGCCAGACGGGAGCTAAATACCCGCGACACTTGCTGTCCAGGCAAGCGGTGCAAGCTGCGGAGTCAGGATTTTTCACCGCCTGGTCGATCCGCGAGCTCATGGACGTCCGCCGAAACACGACGGGGTTTCGACCTGCTTGCCCGCGAAACACCGAGTCTGTGACTACCAGACGGGCCTTCTAGGTCTCACTGTTTCCGCTGGCTGGCTTTCGGTCAGGCTTACGAAACACACAAACCTTGACACCCAAAGAGGCCTTCTGGATGTCACGGCTTCCGCCTGTCGAGCCTGCGAAGCACCGAGCCCGTGACACCAGACCAACCTCCTGGGCGTCACGATCTTCGCTGGTCGGACTTCGGCCAAGCCTGCGAAGCATCGAATCCGTGACTCTCGGACTGGCCCTCTCGGCGTCACCGCCGGTCGGCTTCGCACCAAGGTCGTTCCTCGGCTCAGCCATCGCCCTCCATCTGGGGCGAAACTTCGGGCAGTTGCTCGCCGGTGCTTATGGCAATCACAGGCCTCGAGCTTCGGCGCGCCCGGGGACTCCGAATCGGCCACGGATGGTGGCGGACCAGACTACTGGAGACCTAGCTGTGACGGACACCTCTTGCTTCCCCTACACGCCCCTGAAGGCTACGACGAGCAAAATACACTGCACCGCGCGGAAGAGAACGTCTCCTGCCCACCCGGTGTTCTGGTCTCGGCTCCCCCACTCTGCCTCGCTGTGGTGGTGCAGCTTCGACGCCGAGCTGCTGCCTGGATTGCTTGATGCCCTCGTGAGGTAACGGTCCAGGCCGCTGTAAGCACACACACATACACACAACAACAACAACAACAACAACAACAACAACAACAACAACAACAACAACAACAACAAGGTACACCCCGGGACTGCGACCCCGTCACCCCCGGTTCCTCTCCCGGGCTCCCCCCCCTGGCGCAACCCGGACCTGCCGCCCCGTGCGGACCACCCCCCCCCCCCCCACACCAACCAACCAACCAACCAGCTCTCGCTGCAACACAAAAAAAAACTGTATATCACCTATGGGGAGGAGGAGGAGGAGGAGGAGGAGGAGGAAGGACGAGGAGGAGGACGGAGGGAGGAGACGGTGGCAGGAGGAGGAGGAAGGAGGAAGGAGGAGGAGGAGGAAGGACGACGAGGAGGACGGAGGGAGGAGACGGAGGGAGGAGGAGGAGGAAGGAGGAGGAGGAGGAGGAATGAGGAAGGATCGCCAAGGACAGCCCTTGATCCAGGATGGCTACAGATAGCTCAGCAGGGCAGGG